GAAACTACCCTTGCAACAGTTCCGCTCCCTCCATAGGGGGATCCCCTCAGGCTGTGAGGGGTCTTGGAGAGCGCCATTTTTCACTTGGCGAGCTGCCCCTCCCCCTCCTCTGAGAGCCATGTGGTCTCAGTCTCTGGGTCGCAGTCCTTGGAGAAGGAAGGGAGCTCCTCTTACCTCCTTCCACTTACTCTGGGGATTCCAGCACCTCAGTCCTCGGGTGCACGGCTGCCTGGGTGCCTCAGATGTCCCCTGTGTTGTGTGAATAGCTTCTGTTGGAATATGAATGTCCTTTTTGTTGTGTCTTAGAGGGGGAGAGTTCAATGGGGGAAGCTCACGCCGCCATGATGCTGACATCACTCAGGACACATTTATTTAAAGAACGAATTCTTCACATTGAAACCAGAGTGATCTTTTAAAAACACAAATATGATCATGTCACTCCCACTAAAAATTGTTCAGTTGGTTTGAACTGCTTTCAAAACAAAGATAAGAATCCTTACCAAGCTCCTATGACCCTGCATGGTGTACCCTCACTTAGTTCTCTAGACTCATTTCACATTATCTCCCTCAATTCTTTTCAGTCCCTGAGACTCTGCTGGTTCCTCATAAAGATCATGAGGTCTTTATGTTCTTCCTTCCTCTTCCCCTACTTCTGCATTGAATTCATTCTCAGGCAGTTTTAAATCTTGGCTCAAAGAGTCTTGCCAGGAGAAGCCATTTCTGACGCTCTAGATTAGGTTGAATTCCACTTTAACGCCCTCCTACACCACACATCTACCCTTAGTAATACTTATTAGGATTAGAGTTACTTGTGTGCGATAATTTTTTTTTTTTTTTGTGAGGGATATCAGCCCTGAGCTAACATCCATGCCAATCCTCATCTGTTTTTTTTTTTGCCAAGGAAGACTGGCCCTGAGCTAACATCCATGCACATTTCCTCCACTTTATGTGGGATGCCGCAACATCCATGCCAATCCTCATCTGTTTTTTTTTTTGCCAAGGAAGACTGGCCCTGAGCTAACATCCATGCACATTTCCTCCACTTTATGTGGGATGCCGCCACAGCGTGGCCTGACACGCGGTGCCTTGGTGCACGCCTGGGATCTGAACCTGGGCCACCAGCAGCGGAGTGCATGCACTTAACTGCTATGCCATGGGGCTAGCCCTGTTGTGATAATTTGTCTCCCTCATCAGACAGTAAGCTTCATGAGAGAAGGAAATACAGCTTTCTTTTTACTTCCCATTGGATCCCTAGCATCTAGGGAGTATCTGGCACATCGTAAGAGCTTAATACTCAAGTAAGAGCTTAATATCCATTTAAAAAATAGACCCCGTTGTGTCCCAGTGTTACTAGTCCCTAACTGGATGCCTGGTACACAGTAGATGAATATGTTTGCTAAATGAGCCATAATACAAAGGATTTTTGATTACTCATTTACAATGAATATATGATGCAGAAGAGCTATCACTTGATTATCTGTGATTAGGCACTCATACATAATTGCTACACAAAATCCCAAATTCTCCCCTCTCATCAACCTTTCCTCACCACCAAGACTGAAGAAAGTAGTTACATATCTTTCTTTTCCTTTGTTTACTCTCAGGGGGAGTAAATGATGAGCTGCTTTGGTTAGGAGAATCCACGCAGAGACAGAATTAGCCATAAGTGAGATCTGGCTTCTGAGCCAGCAGACCGTGGCATTCTCATTTGGATAGTTAGATGTTTAGAAACTTTTTTTTCAGTCAAACAAGGACCTTGGCATTCTTTTTCCTTTTACTTTAATAGCAATCTCTTTGAAAACATTTCAGTGGTCAGAGGATGTATTAAAACACAGACACAGGTTGCATAAATTTATAGGTTTATTAGGGCAGGATGACACGGAACAGTATAAGCAGAAAAAGCAAAAATCTTACAAATGAATCACTTTTAAGTGTGTTGACTCACAGAATTTTTTAGTAAACTTGTAATTCCAGATGAGCACCATGGCAAACTTATTGCCTTTGTCATTTGCTAATTTAGGAAAGGGAGAGGAGTCAAATCAAATACGATAGAAATGGATTATTGCAAAATGGTAATTTTTTGATATAATGAAACATAAAGAGAAACTAAAAACCTAAAGAAGATAGCAGGATGTCAATTTCTTAGTTTTAATCATGTATTATAGGTATGTAAGATGTTACCAACAGGGGAAACTTGGTGAAGTGTACACAGGACCTCACTGTACTATTTTTGCAACTTCTTATGAGTCTATATTTCCAAATAACAAGTAAAAAAAAAAAAAAAAGACAGCAAGAAAGATATATAAAATCTGGATAAGAAGGAATTTTTAGAAAGAGAACTTAAATACACATATTCTGACTACTGCTTTGCCAGGTTTCCATAGGTTTGTAAAGAGTTAACAAAAATTTTAAAAAATGCTTTCAAAACACACTTTACTAATAAATATATTAGGCCCTGAAAAGTAGCATTCTATTTTTAATGTTTGAACTAATGATGTTTTCCAGAGATGTGTATAGACTGAAACACAGCAGTGTGTTTGCAAAAGATAACTTAATTTTGGGAAAACCACAAAAATGAGTGCTTGCTACTAAGAAAGGAAAATTTTTATTTCTTGACATCATCAAAGAAAAATGTGAAGGATCTGATACGAAAGGAACAAAAATGTACAAATCCTACCACCTCATTCCTCAAAACTGTATAAACACTTGCAAAATTTTCCTTCCTCTATTAATATGTCTCTAGAGCAGCCAGCCCACCCAGTCCTGGGGCATTCACATGTCAGAATAGTCCATAAAGATCTGGGAACACATATTTTTGGCAGAAAGAAATCACTTAATGTGATGGGAAAGACTGTTGGTGAAATAATTCAGAGTGATGCATTTAGGCAGGACCCTTTGCAATGACAAAACATTAGCGTCATACTTTATAACATTTTTGGGAGCATTCAAAAGACACACAACATTATGAACTCTTAAAATAAGTAGAGTAGTTTTGGTGCCAAATAGATGGCAAACACCCTATAGAGGCGGAAGTAAAAACACAGAGAAGTTCCCAACTTGCCTCATACCACTCTACCTTAAAGTATATTTTCATAATAAAATTCTAAAAGCAAAATAGAAATCTGCTTGGCTGGACACTTCACTTATATTTCCCTCTTAAATACTAACGTAAAGCAACATGGCATAAAGTAAAGGTGAATTGAAACCAGAAAGACCTGAGTTCAAATTCTAGCTCTTTCAGCTACTAGTTTTGTTACCTTATGCAAGTCACAATCGCTCTGAATCTCAATGTCTTTGTTACTAAATTGGGTATAATAATCCCCATATCTCAAAGTGGTCCTAGTACTGAAAGGGATAATATATTTAAGTGCCTACTACAATGCTGTACAGATAGTAGGTACTCAATAAGTGTGAGCTCCTTCCCAGTTTTTCCAGAAGACACAGCAAAATACTTCTTTCTCTGTTAGTTTGATATGAGCTAAAACAAGTGGTTAAGGAGTAAAACAAAAAGGGCAATAGAATATAATCCTAAAATTATCCAATCTTTCTATTAATTATGAAGTTATATAAACTAATATTTAATAACATTATTGGGTTTATTGGTATTTTTCAGGTAATGCATTATTACCTGAATAGGTCCTCTCACAAATCGGCTTTTTGTCTTTAACTGATTTAGCAAAATATGTCATTAATCCTTTTATTTAGATCATAACATGGTATGATCTTTTGGGAGGATTAAGCTCCTCTTGATTCCAGGTAAAAATCATGGTTTTAAGGTTTACTCCTGGGTCTGAGACAACTAGTGACATGGAAAGAGAAACAGTGAAAGGTTAAAGAATTTATCTTTCAAGGCTGATGGTATGAGAATTCTCCCTACGATGACACATCTGTTGATGTCTCACTGTATAGAGACCAAAGTTCCCCAATCCAAGCCTTGAACCTCCCCTATCAGTGCCATAGTCCCCGCCCCCATGAACTCTAAAGGGCGAGCAAACTTTCCGAAATGGCAGGAGTGGGCAGCACAGAAACAACCCTTAGAACGTTTTAGAGACAGATTCTTAACATGGAATCCATGGGCTTATTCAGGGGGTTCTGGAACCTACAGTCCCTGTATGTAAAGTTGTGTTTAAGTGTATTTCGTGCCTTTTTCTCAGAAGGCTGCTCAACTATCACTTTCCTCTAGAGGTCTTCTCTAACCATCCTATCCTGCTAGAGGTCTCGCCCACATAATCTCTCCCATCACTCTGGCGTGTTTCCTGCAGAGCCTTACCACAATCCGTCATTACCTTGTTTGTTTGCTTAAATCCGTCTACCCCACTAGAAGGTAATCTTCCCAAAGAGCAGAATCCTGGTCTTTCTCCCGTGCTTTGAACCTGGTGGGTCTCGAGAGATACTTCTAGAATTAATGACAGGTCCGTGTTTACTAGATATTTAACGAACTGTATATTCCCCCCCGCCCCATCACCCCCCGCATTCTTCTCCAGAAATTATTTTAAAATCACGCGTTTTCAATTTGGAAGTAAGACTTTTAGTCTTTCAACCACACCGCTCACCCTCTCACACTGGTTTCCTACATTCGGAACTGCCACCCCGGCCCACTTACCCAAGCCCACTAGGCCGGACAGTTTCAAGGTGACCAGGACAGGTGCAGCCTTGAACGGGCCCACACGTCAATTCACATTCCTAGCCCCGATCCTGCGGGCGGTGGGGCTGGGCAGGCACAGCGGGACGGCAGGAGCCACCTCTAGACCGCCCCGGGCCTCCGCCCCCACAGGCGGGCGCGCCCCGCCGCCCTCCTTCGGGCGCGGCCGCAGCCGCTCGCAGCTGCAGAGCAGAGCAGCGGGAGCATCTCCCCCGGGAGGTGCACAGCTCGCTGAGGGACAGCGGGTGTACTTCGCCTGCAGCGACCCAGCCCGTCCCGCAGCGCGCGCCGCCGCGGCCACGACTGCTTCCGGGTGAGCGGGTCGCCGACCCTGTGGCCCCGCCCCTCCTTCGCCGCCTCCGCCCGCCGCTGGGGCTGCGGCGCCTCCCGGGGGCCGGTTCCCGCTGTCTCAGCCGCGGCGTTGACGGGACACTGCCGTGAGTGACTGCCCGGCCGCCGGCACCGGGAGCGCCGCTTCCAGCCCGGCCCACTGGCCGGGGACCTGGAACTGAGTCCGCCCTCCGCGCCCCTCGCCTCCGCTCCTCGCTCTTCGCCCCGGCGGGCTCCTGGCGGGCGAGCCGCGCTCCGGCCCTTCCCGGCGGCCCGGCAGCCGCAGCCCGCGCCCGGAGACAGGTAAGAGCCGCTCCTCCCGCTGGCCGGGGAGAGCAGGGAGCGGGGGGCCCCTTCCCGGCCTCGGCAGCCCCGTGAGGTCCGCTCCGCCGCTGACCCCCGCTGGGGGCCGGGCTTCCCTGGGGCCGGCGGGCTCCCCGGTCGGGGTCGCCCCCTGCCTGCCGCGTTCCCCGGCACCACGCCTGGTTTCTGTCGCGCCCCCTCCATCGCCGAGGGGAAGGTGGTACTCCCACTGTAGGAGAAATTAAATTGGGCCGCTGTCCCCTGCTCCGGGTGCTCGAGGCTCCTTCTCCTCGTCCCCAGACGCGGCTCTCCCTCGGTTCTGTCCCCGGACAAACACCCCAGGGAGCGGTGTCAGGCCGGTGGAGGGCGTAGCATTTTTATGGAATGTTTTTTATCCTCCTTGACCCGAACTGAAGCGCGGGCATAACAGGCGCTTGCTAGGAGTGTCAGGGTTAATGCTTGACTAATATGGGGTGTTATTCACACCCAGATTGTTAAGTTATATAGCTCCAGTCAGGCCTGCTTCTCTTGCCCGTGGCTATCCAGCAGGAAGCGGGAGGACCTAAGGAAACTCACCTCTTTTTCTTTTCTTAGAAGGAAAAAACTTTAAGTGTTTGCTCTACATTTTCCACCGTGGGAGATACAAATATCAGGCTGCTGAGACATGGCTAGGGAAATACTGTATCCTAAACTTGAACTGTCTGTAGCTCATTTTCTTTGAGTTCCTTTAATGACTCAGCATTTCTGCCATAAACAGTAAAACTGTAGAGTAGGTTAATTGACTAAAAGATATATGTAAGGATAATAGAGTGGACATTAATTTTTTTATGTTATCACAGTGGGAAGAGAATGTGGATGTAGTAATGGAACCAGAGGGGTGAGGAGCAGCGTATGGATGAATGAGTTCTTAATCAATGTTTAAAATAACATTTTTTCAAGATAACATTTTATTTTGGGGATGAATATGGAAGGGTGCAATTGGTGGAGAATGCAAAGTGCTACAGATAAGAGTTAGTTGGCAGGGACTCGAGGTTTGCTGTGGTTTGAAAGTCTTGCAGAATTAACACTGTTTAACCAACATCATGCTCTGTTTAACAAATGTAGAGATGATGACCTAGTATTATATTCATATGGAACAAAAATTTTGGAAAGTGTGATTCATTAAGAAAGTTAGGTCACTCTCTTTGTGAATCATTGATATGAATCTGAAAATTGGAAGAGAGGAAGGCTAGAAGTTTGTTACTGCCTGTTTAATTAGATGCCTTCACTCATTTTATAGGAAGTGCTGTATTACCCTTTGTTAGGTTTGTTGCTAGATATTTATTGTCATGAAGTATGATAAGGAAATAAAAATTAAACTTTTGCAGAATGTTTGGATTAAAATAGTTTGTTAGTTCCTAAGTGGATTGTTGTGATTTTACCCATTTTTTTTTTTGCCAGATGTGGGAAGATAAATGAAGGGGTCTAGAAACAAAATAAATGTCAGTGAAAAGGAAAGCTACCATCATTAAGGTAGGAAAAAGTTCACTGAAAGAATTTGCAGTGTACAAAGTAGTCTTGTGAGTGAAAGGCCCCACCCATTTTGTAAATCTATCCTTAAAAATGTGGAATGAGACTAACTGTATGAGTTCTTATTTAAGCTCTCTTATAGAAGAAAGTGTGAAGTTGTGATTTAATATTGGAATGAATTCATTTTAAACTAGAAATAGCTTTTTATTGCTGAAATGTAATTTGATAAGTGTTAAGCAAAATAGTTTTGAATCACAGAATTCTTGATACTCTTAGCCTTGTTTTCTTTTTTTTTCCTTTTTGGAATTCAGATTATTTTACCTTGATTTTCATTTATAAAGAGCTTCAGTTAGTTATCAGTTATAAAGTAATGGTAAGTTTATCCCCTTGGTCTCGCTTACCAAATTCCTTTAAATTCTTTGACTAAATTTTGGCATCTGATTTCCTTGGATATCCATTCTTATATTCAGTGTTCCCTAATGTTGCTTTTGATTTTTGTCCAGCTAGTAGTGACTTCAGAGTTTCAGTTCCCAGTGAACAGCCATTCCTTTGGGAAAATCCCTTGTGGAAATTACCGTAGCTGGCAGTTTTGATGGGTAGATATGCAAGAGAACGTTTCTTAGGTCAGGATTTAAGCATCTCCATAATGAAGGAAAAAAGTGATATGGGAAATAATATTTGGCAAAGTAGATTCTTTCTCTCTCAAAACAAAAACAGAAACATATCTTTACTAGAAATGAGAGGGAGGGAGCAGTTTCTTACGAAGCTCTTTGTGAATTGTTTACCCTGCTCCTAGTGTGAAAAGGAACGGAATTGATGATGTATAGAAAAAAAATAATTTTCCCTGCAGTGCTGGAAATGTTGATGAGGATCATTGAAGAGGAGATAAAATTCTCCTTTCCTCACCATAGGAGCATTTTCCATTGCACCTACAAAATAGAGGCCATTTCATAGCCTTTTCCTTTTAGGTAGTTGCTTTCTCTCTGGATAATCTGAGTGGAGAGATGGTCTTTTAACCAGGAAAACATACTACCTTATCCAGTTTGCAAATAAAGAATGGACTTTATGACCATCATTCAAAACTCAACTTTTAGACTTCAGAAGGAAGAAACTGAGCAAAATTTACACTGTGACTAAAATAACTTTGCCGCCTTCTCCATTCTTCCCTTTGAGATAATAGATAGGACACCTTTGGAAATGATTTTTTTTTTGTGTTGCCATTGTACTTTCACTTTTAAAACTTTTTGGCCTGCAATAAATTAGGTCAGACTTAAAAGGAATCAAATATTGGGCTAAAAACTGGGTTTATTGTATGTTATACTTTTTCGTTTGTTCCATTAGTTCTTTATTTTGGTGGGAAACAGAGAATTCCATTTCTTGGAGAAACTCTGCGATTTGCTACTATGTATACTTTTGTTTTGGTCTAGTCGTAAGGAAAGTTGTAGGGAAAGAAAATGGTTAAGAAGAGGGAGGAAATGGCATATATAAAGGAGAATTCTCACTTCATGGGTTCAGTGGATGTTTGTGGGACTTCTAAAAAATGGTAAAACATTTAAAAAGAAAATGTTATATGGTGAAAAGAAAGTCTCCCCTATAAACTGCCTTTTCTCATTCCTTCATCCCCTAAACCAAGCATCCACTGTTAATGATTTCCTGTGTATCCCTCTCCAACTTTTCTATTACATATGTAATCACATATGTTTAGGAGAAATGTCATGTACCTTTTGTTCTTACCCTTGATATACTTGAGAGATCTGTCTATATTAGCACATACGGCCATCCAATTTTTTAAAAAGACTGGATGTCCTGCCTAGTGTAGATGAACCATAATTTATTTTACCATTCCCTATTAACAGACATTTAGGTTGTTTTTAGCTTTCTACAAGCACTGCTATAATGGACACCTCATATGTAAGTTTTTGCACTAGTCCATAGTATGTATATGGGATATGTTTCTAAAAGTGTGACTGCAAGATTGGCACTTAAGTTGTGAAAATTTATTTTAATCCTGTATTGGGCTTTATTTTATAATAGAAGTTAACTTCTTTCTCAACTTTGTAGAAGGAGAAAGGAGCTCTTAATTATTTTGTATTCTTTATCCTCCTCTCTATTTAAAAAAAAATAATGCAAATGTATTTTATAAGGCAATTTTAAGCATTTGAGAGTGACAGGTGGTTACTTTTATTTGTACTGGTATGGGTAAAAATACTGTAGCTTGAAGACTGGTGCTGTTATAGACAAACCACTTCATTTATATTTAGTAAGTTAAATGAATACCTTTTGTAGTAGGTTGATTATTTTAGGATTTTATGACCAATATCAATTAAAAACATTGTATATAGTTTAACTTTTTGCTCTGGTGAAGTCTGTTACTATATTATTAGTCACAAGGGAACTAAATAGCCCACCTTCTCCCTTCTTCCTTTATCCACCACATCCTAGTCTATTCATAATAAGATAAACTTCTGTGCCGTTTGAGATCCAAAAATCCTTTTGCAAACCACAGTGCTATTGGTGGATTAATTTTCCGAGGCAGGATGTACGTACAGATTCAATCTTTATTCTGCAAGGTGTTTGTGAGTAGAATAAGGGAGGTTCAAATTTTTAATTTTGATGTTATAAAGCTCACTCATGACCAGGAGGAGGTTCAGGGAATTTTTGTCTTTTTACAATGAGTGAGACTAGAGAAAAGAAAAAGTGCTGAGGGGTAACGTATGATGATGAAATTGGAACTTGTGAGTGGCAGTTTCCCTGGCTGGTGCCCAGTGTCTATTTTGAGACCTTGTCAAAGCTCGCCTGACAGAACCTACCACATAACTGTAATCTGTCCTGGCCCCGCTGCAAGTCAGGAAGGCCTGCGGTTTAGGAAAAGTGGCAACCACAGAAGAGGGAGCTTATAAGGGACATTTGCCTTCAGAAGATTAAGGCTAAGTTTTGGGGTGAAAATCTGCTTAGCATGCATATCCTAGGATCCAGTTTTTGGTTTTCCTTTTTTAAGGAAAAGGTGTGATTAAGGAAAACTAACAAGGAAAGTATTTTAGAAAAATGTGCACAAGGAGAAGCACAGGATTGTGCCAGTATTGATCTTATGTTCTGGTTCTGAGAGTGTTTGCCGAGGCTCAGTCAAATGTTTTACAACAGGGGAAAATTATTACTTTTACCTGCATAGGGAGGCCATGCCCTGGTTGATATAGTCCAATTCAGAGACCTTCACGCTTATCACTAGGATCAAAAGGACACTGAGAATTATAGACTGTTTTACAGGATTATTTTGAGTTCATACAGAGAAATTAGCTTCTTCCCAAATTCTCATTCTCTTCTTCTCATACAGCTGTATAGTATCATGTACAGTATCATGAAGTTATCTCTTTAAACTCTTGGTTATTACCAGATGCTGTCTCCCAGCGTAGCTGCCTCTCTGTGCTACTTGCTTTCTCATGTAAACCTTGGTGTTTTCTATATTTAGTGAATGAAGTGCTTGAGTTTAAAGGTCTTTAACTGATCTCACTTCTTTTGTTTTTGGTGAGGAAGATTGGCCCTAAGCTAACATCCGTTACGAGTTTCCTTCTTTTTGCTGAGGAAGATTAGCCCTGAGCTAACATCTGTGCCCATCTTCCTCTGTTTTGTATATGGGATGCTGCCACAGCATGGCTTGATGAGCAGTGCACAGGTCCGTGCCCGGGATCCGAACCTGCAAACCCCGGGACACCGAAGTGAAGCGTGCAGACTTAACCACTACACCAGCAGGCTGGCCCCATGATCTCACTTCTTGGGCTAGAAAGCTGTTAAAGAGCTTATTGCTCCACCCCTTTGACCAAGGTACATGTCACCATGTTTAACTGCAGCCTTGTATTATAGTCGAGGTTGCTTGAAGAATTTGGCATACGGATTTAATGTAGAGATGCAAAGCCTGCAGATGGTTTCCTTCCTTTTACTTTAGGTTAGTTTGGCACTCCAGGAAATTTAGTTTTTTCTTGCCCTCAGAAATTTGGATTCTTAGCATTTGATGAAGATGATGTATTTAGTATTCAGGGTGAAGAGAAAAAATAAAACAAGTATTTTTCTTTCTTCTCTGTTTCTATTATCTGGTTTATTTCTATTATTCTATTTATTTCTTTATGTTTTATTATATTATAATATAATTATATTATATTTTATAATGTAGTATATTGTTTTATTATATTATATAATAATACTATATATCTATTTCTATTATATTCTATTTGTTCCTACTATTGTAGTTCATCTTTTTCCATTGTTTTCACTTTGAACCCTCTATATCTTAGTTTTTCTTCATTATGAACACTAAAATTTTAACTGGTTTTGATATAACATCTTTTACTGTTTTAGGAAGCAAATCTAATTTTTAAGTTAGTTGTTCTGGTCACTTTGTTTTTCTTTTTACATCCTCCGCTTTCCAAAGTAGAAGCATTTTAACAGCTAGGAGTAATCTTTTGGCTCTCTGTTTTCTGAGTTAGATAGATTATACTGTGTGTAGAGGATTGGGATGTTAAACTGTTTATTTCCCTGTTAAATGGTTTAAATCATTTATAACAACAAAAATACAATTAGTAAGCATACATGTTGTTGCTGTTGAAAAAAATGTATTCCATTTAAGTGACCCAAGGATTATAGGACTAAAAATAGAAAAAACATTCAGTTTTAGATGTGATGTTTTTTTCCGTCATGGATATCACTATGTCTAAATAGACAGTCAAGAAAATGAGATGGTCACTGTCCTCTTGTCTTACCAAACTCACCCATTGCTATCCATCCGAAGTTCTTTTTTTTATTGTAGTAGAATATACATAACGTAAAATTTACCATTTTAACCATTTTTAAGTGTACGATTCAGTGGCATTAAGTACGTTCACATTGTTGTGCAACCATCACCACCATCCATTTCCAGAACTTTTTCATCCTCCCAAACTGAAACTCTGTGCCCATTAAACAATAACTCCTCATTCCCCAAAACTCTTGGTAACCACTGTTCTACTTTCTGT